CTTGAAACAAACCATGCACAAATCCTATTAAGAATTGTGCACATTTAGGGATGCCTGGGTGGTTCAGTGGGTTAAGCATTTGACTCAATTTCAGCTTAGGTCATAATATCACAGTTCATGACATTGAGCCCCATGTCAGGCTCTGTGCTATCATGGTGCCTGCTTGGCATTCTCTTTCTCTCTCTCCCTCTCTCTGCCTCCCCTGCTCACTCTTGCTCTCTCTCTCAAAATAATAAATAAACATTAAAAAAAGAACGTGCAGGGCGCCTGGGTGGCTTAGTCGGTTAAGCGTCCGACTTTCGCTTAGGTCATGATCTCGCGGTTCGTGGGTTCGAGCCCCGCGTCGGGCTCTGTGCTGACTGCCAGCTCAGAGCCTGGAGCCTGTTTCAGAGTCTGTCATTCCCTCTCTCTCTGACCCTCCCCTGCTCACGCTGTCTCTCTCTCTCTCTCCTAGAAATAAATAAAAAAAGTTTAAAAAAAAAGAACGTGCACATTTAGATATGTTGTAGTGACAAAGACAGATAATGTAATTAAAGATTACCAAAAAAAAATTCTCTTCAACCCATGTGAGCATTTCTAATTTATTCAATAACTAGAAAAAGCAACTCCAAGATAAACCAGATAATGAGAATCAGTACGTTGAACAATAGATTGAAATGCAGTTTCCTTTTTATTTAGCAGGGAGAATGTATGAAACTGCATCTTCAGTATTAATAATATCAATTTAAGAAGCAGAAAAGTGGGAGGGAGGACAGGCAAAAGAACTAGAAATAGTTGTTTTCTCTCTTTCCTTGATTGTCAAATGAATATTTAGTGGGGGGAAAGGCATACGTTTATCAGGCTAAAGCCTGTAATCCTAATTACAGTCAAAACTCCAATAAAAATTTACATTCTTAAATCCTGTACACATTCTAAATTATGCTTTTTCCCCCCCATAATATATTCTTTAACTTTCTTGGTATCTCTCATATTCTTCTTTTTTATTATTGCTTACTCAATTCCCACTCAATACCCACTTACACCATCAGTCCTCTACTCTTAAATTGCTTTTGTTTTTCATGAGGTCCAGGTTAAAGAAGCTTACATTCTTTTGCAACTGCATCATTTGGTGTCATTGATAGAGTGGATGTATGTGATATACTCAGCGATGTGAGAAGAACCCCTTTATCATTTGACTTTCAAGCAAAGTTTGGAAGTTTGGAGGTTTCCAAGTTTTGAGCATAAAGTTAGAAACAGTCATCCTTCAAGAAGTAAATGCACAAAGAGTGAACTCTAATGCAAATGTTTGAGTGATGATAAGTCACTAGAGGTTCACTGATTGTAACAAATGTACCACTCTGTTGGGGGGGGGTGCAGTGTTCATAAGGGAAAGGCTGTGCAAGTGTGAAAGCAGGGGTAATGTGAAAAATCTCTTACTTTCCTCTCAATATTGCTATGAACCTAAAACTGCGCTGAAAATAAGTCATTTAAAATTATTTAAATAAAAAAAGCAATTATTTTTTATTTCTGCCACCTGCTTATTTTATTATTTTTTAAAATACAATTTATTGTCAAGTTAGCTAATATACAGTATATACAGTGTACTCTCGGTTTTGGGAGTAGATTCTGTGACTCATCACTTACATACAACACTCAGTGCTCATCCCAGCAAGTGCGTCCTCAATGTCCATCACCCATTTTCCCTGGCCCTCTGAACCCCGACTCTCCCATCAACTCTCAGTTTGTTCTCTATATTTAAGAGTGTCTATGGTTTGCTTCCCTCTCTGTTTGTAACTAATTTTTTCCTTCTCTTTCCCCACGGTCTTCTGTTAAGTTTCTCAAATTTCACATATGAGTGAAGACATATGATATCTGTCTTTCTCCGGCTGACTTATTTCACTTAGCATAATACTCTCCCTCAAGTTTCATCCATGTTAAAGAGCCCAAAAGTCCATCAACTGAGGAATGGATTAAAAAGATGTGGTATATACATACAATGGAATACTGCTCGGTGGTGAAAAAGCAATTTTGAAGCTCCTGACTAATGCACCTCTTGAAACATCCCTCAGTGCTACTGGATATCCCCACATCTGGGACACTTGGTATTGAATTTAACTTGCTCTACCCACTGTGTACCATGATGCTTTGTTCATGAATCTGGACTTACTCCTCCCACTCATCTTTGTCTTAACCTGCACACAGCATCAAGCATGACACGCAATATGGCAAATGTTTACTAAACGAACAAAGATGGAAATAGAGAAATTCACCCCGGAGAACATAGGAATTGAATATTGCAATGTATCTGTGTGTATCTAGATTGATCTATCTATTTATCTATCAAACAAACCTTTGCCTACCTTTTATACTTTGCTTAGCTGACATAAGTTAGTAGTACATTAATATTCCTCTTGGTAGCAGACAGGGGTCAGTCTAGACAACTCTAGCTCTGTTGAGAACTGACCATAAACATGTTGCCTAGCTACATGCTTCATTTTCACAAATAAAAAGCAACCAATATTTATTGGTCTAGCTTTTCACCACAGTTATCTCTAGATAACTCCTAGAAAGAAAAAAAATGGACCAATTAATTTTCAAGATATTCAGGGCATTTTTTAAAGTGAGAGTTAACTGGAAAAGTTTTCTACTCAATCTCACTTATTAAAAATCTAATACCAGGACTTTGGTGTGTCTGCCACAGAACATATACTATTTGGATGCTCATTAAGATGATAGAAGTCTTACAACACCTCAGACCATTTTAAGATCAATCCTCTCACATTGATGAAGGGGTCAGAGTAAATTATTTTAAATAATGATTTTTAAATCATTGTCATTTCTATGCCATGTACTTTCTCTCTCCCTCTCTCTCATTTTTAAAGATAAATTTTTTATTTTTACTTTATTTAGTTATTTATTTGAGAGAGAGAGACAGAGAGAGAGAGGGAGGTGGGAATGGGTAGAGGAAGAGAGATAGAGAGACAGATCTCACAACCATGAGATCATGACCAGAGCTGAAATCAAGAGTCAGATGTTTAACTGACTGAGCCACCCAAGCGCTCCTTCTCTTTCTTTAAAAGGGAGAAAGGGTTCTGATTAGAGATCTTACTGGATATGAACAAATCTCATAAATTATGACCCACACATATCTTGGATGAAAGTGAGTCTGCACACTTCCCAAATGCAAAGGTCCATCTGGGGCAAACCTAAGGATGAAGTCCAACTCTTCAGAAAGGCTTCAGAGCCTCAGTCCCAGGTAGGTCCAAAGTGCTGCCTACCCACACCCTGCTCCTTTGGCATTCAAACAGCATGCCAGCTCCTCATCCCCCAACTGGTTCTTACACCAGTCTTCCTGACTTTTACTGAGGACCTCTCCATGCTGTTTCACTTGGCAAATCCCTACCTATAGACCATGTTTCAGAATGAGATCTCACCAGAGAAATCTATTCCAAATGCTGCCAGCTTTCCCAAGAGGTTGCCTATAGTTAACAGAGTCCTTATCACTCTTGGGTGATTGTCCATTAGCCTCTTCCTCTGAAGCCTGTGACTTTCAGGCAGAAATTTCTATCAATTCCCATAGCAAAGCTTAATCCTACTTACAAAGTAGATTTCAAAGTAATAAGAGTTAATGAAAATATCTAAGATATACAAATGCAAGCAGTTGTTTCTTAAAATAATTTTGTAACTCTATCTCTATGGAGGCACTTCTTTCTTAGTATGAGACAAAAATTAGTGTTGGACATAAGGGTGATAAATAATGTGGAAATGATGTAAGAAAATAAAACTCCAGAATAAGAAACAAATGAACTAAGAAGTTATTATACTTTTATGTAGTTAACTGAATAATTACTTATCAAGGAAAGGGAATATTACATTCATGATTTACATTTTACAATCCGCAGCCCATAAGCTATGTGAAATGAATTATCTTTTATTCATTTCACCTCTTTGCCAGTGTCCCATCTTCAGTTTATGGATGACATAATTTTTTAAGTGAGTCAACCATAAAAATAATTTTACCCTTACATGGAAAACTTTATACCATCAGAGAAAGAATGAACACTTTTAATATCTGGCAATGAAAAGAACTGATTTTGCTACTAATTCTAGAGGGATTATTTCCATCCACAGAACATTGCAATGAAAAGACAGCATCTAAGTCAGCATTTTGGCAATCCCCCCATGCCACAGCCTCACCCCCAAATCCAGAAGCCAGTGTGCAGCACTGAAGTACAAAGAAGGCCCCCAGTATACAAGATTTCCTGCAATCACTGGGTCCACAAATGCAAATGCGTGCTCTTGGAACCTTGCACACCACTCAGAGAGCCACACCACGGCCTGTAGCATCTTACAGGACACTTTTACACTAACATATTCCAGCATCTCAACACTTTCCTCATAGCTAAGCACTTTTTACAGGGAGAGCCTTCTTTCACATTATAGTGACTTCTGGAGCTCATTTTGCCTCCAAGTCTGTGAAAATACCCTCTCAAGGAAATCACATACTTGATTTCATACTTTCTCCTATTACAAGAAAAAGGTAATGTATTTACCCACAGAGTTCAAACTGAAGAGAAAAGTATATCCTGTTTAATCTCAGATGCTTCCCTAAAAGACACTAAAAGGCATGTCTTTGGTGTCCTGAAAACCTGACCAAAAGTCAAAAAGCTGTCATTTATATTCATCTCTGATATTAATGAAATTAGATATAGTCAAGGACTACATAATTGCAAATAATCTCATATGAAAATCTATGTGCAATAAATATATGTGTGGAGAAGGTAAGAGATGAGGTACCTTTTAAATACTCAAGCCATATCTCACTACTAGGGTCATAAATTCCATTCTTTGACTTTTTAAAATAAATTTCAATATTTAAGCTACCAATTAATGCTATAGAGTTAAGAAGTCAATTATGAGTTTAAAACCGTGTGATAAATCTCGAGCAGAAACTCACAATGAGAATGTAAGCAAGAAATGATGAGGAGGTCTTCAGATCAGAAAAGAAAAGAGCTTCTTACCATGTTTATTGATGACACAGGACCAATACTGTTAACATAGATGTCCACATCAATCACAGTTGGTTTTACTGTGGAGAAAAATACATGTGTGTTAACACTTTGTGCCAAAGAGACCGAGAAAAGCAGTATTCAACTTCCTTTGGGTATATTGGAAAAGGGTGGATATTCTTTTGGATTTGTCTTATAGTTGCAGTTCAAAACCTGCCTGATGAGCACTGAGTGTTATGTGGAAACTAATTTGACAATAAACTATTTGTAAAAAAATAAATAAATAAATAAATAAAACCAAAGGTAGACCACAAAATAAATAAATAAATAAATAAATAAATAAAATTAAAAAAAAATAAAAGTGACATACCAGAAAAAAACAAAAACAAAAACCTGCCTGTCTTCCTTTTTAAAATTCTTAAAGGATGAGAGATTCTTACTTGTATTTAATAAATTCTTGGAGGGAAAAAGAACATTTATACACTGAAAGTTGCCAGGAATAGATGACTATAAAGATATTCTGCAATATTTGTTACGCTGATTATATGGCTAAAACAAAAGCTATAAAATGATAAAACAAAAGACACTATGTAAGTAATTTAATGTCAATGTTTCCTATAAAGCCAAACCCCAGTGATGAGTAACATCAGGGATGGCTCCAGTTGCTTATTCATCACCTGACTGCCTAGCTAATGCTGTAAAAAAAAGTGACTCAAAGCAAGATCTAGAGAGTACATGCATCAGAGAAGAATAATGAATACTGATAACTGTCATTGTTATATAACTTAAAGACATGTACATATATTGCATATTTATAATCCAATAAGTTAAAAAAAAAGAACACTTTAGTAAGTCAAAGAATTACAGTTTCAACTACGGGGGTATAAAATGTATATGATGAGAGATTGTGATCCAACATTGTGAATCAGAGGTAAAATTTCTTCATTTCCCCTGAAAGAAAACAGTTTCTCTTTCCTTGGTAGGGACCAGTAATGAGATTGCAGAGAGTCAGGAGCTCATGCCCTCTGAAAAGGAGGAGATTCTCTTTCCTCAGCATTTAGTAACTGATAAAAGGAATGACAGTACCAATTTCAGAATATTTCTGCCCCAGAGGAACATGAACAAGACTCTGAACCTTTGTACAGGAAACAAACTGTTTCTATGGAAACAAGAGTGTTTATATCTGCAATCATTTCAATAAGCTTCCTTTAGTTTTGCTAACTAACTAATAATTCACAAATGGATTTCTGCACTCCACTTTGTGAACTATGAGTGGCATTTCTGAGCTCATAGTCTCATTAAATTGCATATCCAGCAGTCTGTAGTCCAAGCCATGTTTTAAGAACCTTCATGAAAATGAAAACAATGATTATGAATTTGTGCCAACTACTCTAACATCTGTCAGGACAAGCAAGTCATATTAGCTTCAAAAAGCTGTTGGCATTTTGGAAAACACTCCAACACAATTCTATGTATTATGTATGTAGTGTTTACATTTCATAAAAGGACTGTTCTTTATTTTAGACTGAGATTTGTTAACTACTATCAATAGAAAATAGCATCTTTCTTCAACTTCATTGGATTCACCAAGTTTTCTCTCTCCAGACAGTGCATAACCTTTGGTGATGTCATACAAAAGCCTGTGTTAAGTCAGTCCATTGAGAACCTACTTTTTTGCAAGAGACTTTTCTGGTTGTTTTAAGGTATCAGAGCTTAGGCTTCCAGAGCTCTTAATCTCATTAAATGAAAAAGGACCTACAGGCATAAAGCCTTAACAACTTGAAATGGGAAGAGTCAAATGAGTATTATGTGCAATAGTGCAATGAATGTTTTAAGGGATAACATTTTGGAATAAACACACATGCACACACATACAAACACACACACACACACACACACGTACACACAAAATGGGGAAATTAATTGTTTGAAGCAAATGTTATTTTAAAGTAACACCATGCTAAAGTAAAAGGAGCTTTTTAAGAAAGTGGCTCTGACAGTGGCACTGGGAACAAGAATGACTACAGCTGGCTCAAGGTTTATAATTCAAAGACTCAAGATAGGCCCTGACAAATGATCTTTGACAAAGGAGCCAAGATCATTTAAATGAGAAAAGGACAGTCTCTTCAACAAATGGTATTGGATATACTGGATATCAGCATGCAAGAGAATGATGTTAGTCCTTACACTATATACAAAAATTAACTTAAAATGGACCAAAAACCTAAAGGTAAAACTGAAAACTGTGAAACTCTTAGAAGAAAACATAGGAGGAAAGCATCACGACATTGGAGTTGACAATTATTTCTTGGATATGACACCAAAAGCACAGGCAACAGTAAATAAATAAATAAATAAGACTACATCAAAATTAAAACAATTTCTATGTATCAGACACAGTCAACAGAGTGTAAAAGCAATCCAGGGAACTGAAGATAACATTTGCAAATTACTATCTATAAGTGGTTAATATCCACAACATAGAAAGAACTCCTAAACTTAACAACAATAAGCAAAATCTCTGATTTAAAAATGGTCAAAAGACTTTGACATTTCTCTAGAGATATGCAAATGATCATTAAGCACATGAAAAGATGCTCAGCATCATTAGTCATTACAGAAATGCAAATCAAAACCACAATGAAATACCACTTCACATCCGTTATCACGGTTACCATTAAAAAAAAAAAACAAAAAACACTGGGCCTTGGTGGCTCAGTAGGTTAACCATCCAGCTTCGGCTCAGGTTATGATCTCATGGCTCATGGGTTTGAGCCCTGCATTGGGCTCTGTGCTGACAGCTAGCTCAGAGCCTGGAGCCTGATTCAGATTCTGTGTCTCCTCTCTCTGACCCTCCCCTGCTCACACTGTCTGTCTCTCTCTCTCTCTCAAAAAAATAAAATAAAACATTTTAAAAATTTAAGAAAAAAACAGAAAATAACAAGTGGTGGCAAGGATATGGAGAAACAGAAACTCTCATGCATTGTGGGAATGTAAAATGACACAGCCACTGTGGAAAACAGCATGGCATTTTGTCAAAAAAATTAAACACAGAATTGTATTACCCAGCAATTTCACTTCCCAAAAGAATTAACATCAAACATACATTTGTACACCCATATTCACAGCACCATCATTCACAAAAGCCAACAGTTGAAAGCAACCCAACTGTCCATGAAAGGATAAATAGATAAACCAAATGTAGTACATTCATATGGAATATTATTCAGCCTTAAAAAGGAAGGAAATTCTGACTGTTCTGTATTCTTTTATGTGATGGTCAGTCATGTGCGGCCACAAGAGAAAAGGTTCAGAATAACAAAGTTTATTATACTCACAGTCTTAGAAACAGGAGATATGCCTTGCAGAACCACATGGAAAAGCCACCAGGGTGGTCAGAAAGCAGAAGATAGGGCAAGATAGAGGGAGAAGACACTTATCCCATGATCATAAATAGGGTTTCCAAGGGAAAGACACAGAGGGCAGGATAAACAGCTAGTATTGTCTAGTTTGAATTCTTCCTGTGGTGTCTAGTGACCCTGGGATGAAGAATAGTGCTTCCTACAGTGTAAGGACCAGAGAGAGGGAGTATGGCTCTGGGTTGGTTAGCTTGCATATCAAAGGTATGCTCCTGGCTAGGCCCTATACTAGCTCTAAGAATTGGCTAGTCCCAAAAGAGCAGTTTCTCTTCAATTAAAAAGCATTTTTAAGATATCAAAACATCATAATATTCAGAAAATTAAAATATGCATATATATGTGTATATGTATATACAATACAGTGACACATAGATGAACATTGAGGATGTTTTACTAAGTAAAATATGCCAGTCAAAAAAGACAGAGACTTTATAATCAACTTATATGAGGCACTTGGAGTAATAAAATTCAGAGACAGAAAGCAAAATGGTGGTTGCCAAGGGCTTGGGGAAGGAAGAATGGGGAGTTAGTGTTTAATAGGAGCAGAGTTTCAGTCCTGCAAGACGAAAAGAGTTCTGGAGAGAGACAGTGGTGATGGTTGCAAAACAATATGAATATATACAAGACCACTGAAATGTACACTTAAAGGTGGTCAAAATAGTAAACTTTATGTTACACATATTTTCCACACACACACACACACACAAAGATTAAGCTCTGGGTAGTTGGTAGAAGGATGAACAGTTACACAGAAGTAAAGAAGACAGAAATGGGGAGAGAGGGGTGAGGAGCTGGTGATCCTCTGAGTGAAAAGGGGCAGATTCTATTGAAAAAGACTATAAAATAGGGCTGATGTTACTAGGTCTTATACAGTTTGTCCAAAAACAGATTCACTTTTCAGTTATTCATCTGAATTCCACCTTACCAATTTGGATATTATTATCTCCTAAAAATTCAGAGTTAGTATGTTTGAGACAAATCAGAAACTCATAAATTGTGCGGCATAAATTATTATGGCAAAGATGGACTGAGTAAGCCTTAATAAGCTTTGGTCACATTTATTACCTTGAAAGATTTATGTGACCCAAAGGGTAATAATATAGACTGCACTTCTATTTGCCTCTGTCACAAAACTAATGAACATACTTGTTCATTTATTTTTCTCCACTCTTCCAGGGGCATCCACATGCTAAAACAAGCATCCTAGATTTATCAGCTATGAGCTTAAGAAGTGACCTAGATGCACAGGCAAGAATGGCACATGTCAAAGTGGCCTTGTGGAAAGAAGAGTGTAGGGGCAGTGTGGGTCTGTCTGCTGATGGACCTAGAGGCACATGGCTGACTTCTGCTCTTCAGAATGCTACTTAGAGACTGGAGTTAACATATTCTTTGTTTATTGTGGACACAAAAGGAATTCTGTCATGATAAAAAGTAAATAAATTATGCTTCAGTTCAAGAAAGTCCATTTTTCTGACCCTTGACATCCAGAACCACATCTAATATAGCACAAGACTCCTATTAGATAAAATCAGCACCTCTTGTGAAAAGAAAAATATATCAGATTTTACTTCCAAAATTCCAAACAAATTATCTGTTAAGAGGCCTTATTTATGTATATAAATGAGTACTTCCTGGCAGGTGTTTAAAATGCCAAACCTTGG